CTATAGGAGATACTTAATATGTGGTTGTTGATGTCCTAGATAGCCTGCCTCCTTTCTTCAGGCAGGCAAGCTACTATAATCCCCATCAACAATAAGAAAACTGAGACCCAAGAGAGTTCAGGAACTTGACCAAGGTAATAATAAGAAGGGGAGAAAAGCATGTTCTTCTGGACTTTGTACCCAGCGTTGATTTTCAGGCAGCTTGCCTTAGTTATCTCTGACAAGCCTGCAACAAGCTTTCCCACCACTAGCACCAACTTCTGGCAACAGGCAGTACTTGTAATGAATAATCCGACTGAGACAGCATTCAGTTTGAGATGCCTATCTGTTCTTTTTGAATCAACACTGAAAGCAAATGAAATAGAATTGTTTCCCACAGACTTCCTGAGCAGTAGAGAGAAACATTTGAGCCTTATTCTCAACTGAAGGACAGTATTTGTGAGGGTGGCTGTGCCTACGAGTCACAGTGAACAACTTCAAGTGAAACAGGGAACGCAGCATGACCATAGTTTGCTCTTCTCAAAGCTTGTCTTCTCAGCCCACAGACCTCCTTGCTTAGTTTGGGGAACAGCATGGGGTAGTAGAAGGCACAGATGAGGCTTTTTGTGTCAAAAAAGAAGTTTTAGTTCTGGGCTCTCTGCCATCCACAGTGCAACTTTGAATAAGTTGCTTCCTCATTTGCAAAAATAAGGATAGTTGCAAGGATTAATCTGAATTGTGTATGTGGTGGTGCCTGGAATAGAAGAAATTAATGTTGACTTTCTTTCCATCCATAGGTCCCTCTCACTTCTCCACTGTCGCCAACCCTCCCTTCATATCCAGTGTGCTCATTCTCTCTGCTTCCTATCCCTCATAAAATAAATGGGCTAATAAACATTTTCACCTGAAGTGTAAATGGCTATTAGGTTCAATATTTTGGTTTTTACTGGAGTGTTATTATTTTAACACAGGACTAAAATCCAATGTCCAAGGGATGAAATTATAATTAAGAAATGTAACCTGCTTTGGTCACAGAAATTCAGCCTTACTAACCAGAATTCCCCATAAAATGGAGCAGGGCTTCTTTGAGAAATGGCTGATTCCAGGATAGGGACAGGAATGTACAAAGGGAAGCTGGAACATCAACGTCTTGTATCTGGAAGTGCTGAAAAAATAGCAAAAGTGCAGAAAGGACACACAACCCAACTTGACAGGGTCCCCACGGGTTCAACTGGGGACAGCATGATGATTTAAAAAATGGTGACAAGAATTGATTGTATCATATTGAATAAAAATACACTTATGAGTCCATATTTATACTTTAAAAAGTTAAAGGTGGCTGTGGAGAGAAGAGGAAAAACCTTTTCCTAAAAAAAACAGAATAATGTCAGCTAACAGATGTAAAAGGAATAACGGAAGAAGAAAACCACCATTTTGTGATCAACATGTGTAATTATTATTAATTAATTATTATTAATTCAGGCAATAATTAACAATGGATACTAAAAGCATTTGGTGACAAACTTTCAAGGAACCACATATTTACATAGTCTCAAATTATTTAGTAATTATAATGGAAAGTATCTTTAAAACGGAGAAATCTGGCAGACACTCTCCTAACCAAATGATAAAATTTAACATCTCCCATAAATGGACAGTCCAGTGTCATGTTCCTGCCAATGTGATGCACTGAGCTCACAATATAAGCTCTGCTAAAAATGGTTAAACCAATCTGACCATGAGAAAACAATCTGATAAATCTTTCTGGACTCGATTATTCAAAAATGTTGCTCCCGTGAAATATCACACACATACACACAGGGCGGGGGACTGACCTAGATGAGAGGAGACTAAAGCAACATGGCAGTAAACACAATGCATGATCGTTGATTCCTGGATTTTTGGATGCCAGAAGGGGGAAAATAATTGGGGACAATTAGGTGCATTTAAAGAAGAATTGCTTATTAAATAATAATATTGTACCAGTGTTAAATTTCCCAAGTGTGATAATTATATGTGGTTATGTAAGAGAATGTCCTTATTCTTAGAAGATTTATGCTGAATTATTTAAGGGTAAAGATTAATTATTTTGGTTACTATTGAAATATATATATATTTATGGAGACAGGAGAGAGAGAGAATGAATCTGACAACTGTAAGCTAAAAAAAAATTTGAACATTTAAAAACACTCTCAAGAGTAGGCCAGTTAGGAGACCAGAGACATGACAACTACTCAACGTGTGATTTTAGTCCAGATCCTAATTAGTTCAAGGACATTATTGAGGCAAAACTTGACTGAGGTCTGAGAATTAGATGTATCAATGTTAATTTCCTTATTTTTTGCTAGTATTGTGGTCATACAGATGATGTCCTTATTTATAAGAAATAAATGACTCAGAAAAAAAAAGAGTAGACCAGTTATTTAATCCAAATAACTGCTTAATTATCCTTCGGAAAAATCATGTGACATTTATAGGAAAAACTGTATTCGATATAGTAGGTCGAACTTGTTTTCAAACAAAAAATGTACAAAGCTCAATCCATTCAAGGTCTCTCAGTCATCTCTTGTAGTCACTCGCCTCCAGTCAGCAGATTCTCTAACAGGCAACAATTCATTTCACTCACGGAGACATGATGGCTTCACTTGCCTCACAGCGTTGAACAAAAAGAATCTTGACTGCCTGAGGAAATATTTCAGCAGCAAAGGAAAATATAGAAACAATAATGACTGAAGAACTGTACACGCTATATTTTATTTTGCAATGGTTATCTTTTAAAAAATCAGTTCTTATCACAAAACACACGGACACACACACACACACAAGAACACAAGGAAATTTTTGGAGGTGGTAGCTATGTTTAGAATCTTGGTTTCTTTGATGGTGTCATGAGTATACACCAGTGTCCAAACTCATCAGTATGTATGTATTCGATGTGCACAAATTTTTGTATATCAATTATATGTCAATGAGGCTTAAAAAAATTAGTTCTGATCTCCCCTAGGAGAATTCTCCTCTTCACACCTGGGAAGAAATGTTCTAAAGTATGTGATTTATTTGTTATATGATCAGTTTCTTCATCTGTAAAATAAAAATTTTAAGTGTTAACTATCTTGTCAGATTGTTGAGGACATGCAAATTAGCCAAGATGAAGCACTTAGAATAGTGCAAGGCACCCACGCTATACACTGTAGCTGTTAGTAGTATTGTTGTTGTAGTTCTTTATAGCCTCAGGATCTGCCACACGTCTTTCCTGGCATTTCTTTTGTTTTTACAGCCCAACTTGTTATTGCTCATAGTTAGATAGCACCCCCCACCCCGCCGCCTTCTGTCCTTAAATGATCCGATAAATTTCTTTTAGCATTTTGGTATTTTAAGATGCATTATATTTTAAGTTATATTATCTAACACGTGGAGAATGAGCAACATATTACATTTCCTCAGGCAAAAATCACTTTAATGTATTTTCAATTGATAAACGCGTGGAAGTTTCAGAATGCTATGTTTAGCCATGATGGTTTCAAAGATAGTTTTCTCAAGTTATAATAAAATATAAACAGTATTCCTAACACAGTGATCCATGTCATTCTTGGAAATCACACTCTTATGATTATTTCTATGAACCTTGTCTTGTGAATGTGATTATATTCACTTTCCATTTTTATAATGTAAATTAAAGGACTTCTCATTTTAAAATTATTAATTATCAATATCGTTGAAAACAACCGGAGGTACCGTGGGTAGTTAAACTGTAAAGTTACATTTTGCTTGCTTTTTAGAGACAAACATCTGTGGATTAAGTGATTAGCCACTATGTGTCCGTGTTTAGATTTTATTTTAAAAATCTGCTTACATGGATTAGAAGGATTTTTGTATGGAAGAAACAGGTCACCAGCAGAATGAGGAATAAGGATCATCTCTTCTAACAGAGTGTAAAATGACATGTCTTGTGATTCCCTTAAAGAAACTGAGACAGAAAGTACAGGGGGGATTTATATGTTTAAGTGATACTTTAGGCTAGTTACATTATCAGTACATTTTACTAAATGTTTACTTTGGTTACCTGCTGTTTTTAGGTTTTGGAAAATTTTGTTTTTGCAAACATATCTTGCTATTAAAGTTTCTTTCTCATCTCAGTTCCTTAGGATAATATAAAATAATTACGTCCAGTTTTATTTGACTTAGCACATTGGGGTGAGTTTAAATATGCTTAATAAATGAAATGGTTATATTTATTTTCACTCAATAAATGACAAACTAAACATTCCTTCCCATCAGTTTAAAAGATAACATCACGTGCATTGTGGTTAATCTTTTGTAGCTTTTGTTCCCCAAGGCACCCCAGTCATAATTCCTCCGAGGCAGCATTTGTCTAGTTATTTGAGACCAAGCTCCTATGTGAAATTATAACAGTGTGGAACTACGACTCCTTTTCCATTGTGGCACCTTCTCAATGCAAGAACCAAGGATGCTAACGTTCTTACTCTGACCATTTTAAGTTTGTGGTTATGATTCTATTGACCCAGTTGCAGCATTATCTATCCATGCTTTTTCTGAAACCACACTTTACCATTCTGAGTGATGCCACCCCCATCTCCACCCAAAATGATGTGGGCATTACTGCTGCTTAGAGGATACTGTGATATGATGCCCAGATCCCAACATGTGGGAGTGCTGTTGGCAGACAGCCATCAGCCATCAGTCTTTGTGAACTCCCTTGGCTGTCATGTCCTTTCCAGGACAGCCCGCATCCAAGAACTCATCAACATGGAGGCATAAAGACCAAGACCCTTCATCCAAATTTGGGCAGCTTGGAAGGGCCAGTCCAGCTTCAATGTTCCCCGGGGGTTGGTAGGGACTTTCATTAGGACTGAACCACAGCCGGCTTTTTCCCTCTGCATACTTCTGCTTCCTTTCCTTCCCTTCTACGGCTGTTATTCCCAAGAGCATTTCTTAACAAACTGCCTGCATGCTAATCTCCATCTCAGAGTCTACTTCCAGCAGTTTTTTTTTTCTTACAGTGTAAATTTAAAGTCCCTTGCATTGAAGATGTACAAACATCAGTGACAGAGATGCCGTCACCCTTGTTTCGAACTTGAACTTAGTTTGAACTTCTCCATGGACAGCTCAACAGGTTAGTGATAACATCGCTTGTAAGCACAGAACTAAAATGTATTAAAAGGCAGTTTCATTAAGTGATATAAAACTTATTAAACTTAAGTCTATGAAAGCCCCAGGAGCAAAATTCACAGTGTCATGTACAGTCTCCAAATGAGTATTAATTTCATAACAAGAATCAGTTCCTGGTCAGTGTGAAGTATTCCCTTTTATACACAGTGGGGGTAGTCCACATCCTTGATCCCCTTTGTCCAGTCTCTACCTCAGTAGTCACCAGGGCTGAAAATACCTGGGGATGAAGTCTATCCTAACCCCATCACCCGAAAGTTCAGACCCTCTGTGTGCCCAAGTCAATTATGTCCAAGACTGTCTCTTCATCAGAAAGCTAAAGCTCACCCACCGTTAGTGTTTGGGATTAGTCTTGCTTCCCTAAACCCAGTACAGTATTTACTAGAGCTAGGCACTTGCACCAGCTGTGATCACAGGCCTAAGAACTAGAAGCCGTTTTAAAAATGTCAATTTTTGTCATCGTCTCTGTTCCCTCGGGCTCTGCCTAGGGCTTGTAAGTCCCCTTTGCTTGGACATTCTTATTCCAAAGCTCCCAGATTCTGAAAACTGTCACAATCTAGAAGTGTCTCTTGTTGCATTTAACTGACTGTGGATCTTGATGCTGATCGGATGCAGATCCTCTGTGTGAGGGCCCAAAACTTTGCTTCAGGAATGAATGTGTTGCTGGTGAGCTCCGCCAGACTGTTTGCTGCTGACATGGCCCCTCTGCTAGAATGGCAGCTCTTTCTAAATGTCTACATCTGTGCCTGTCCAGACCAGGGTTCTCTTCTAGCTAGTGTCCACCTTCAGCCATGCCAGGTAGCTAGATATCAGCAGGGAAGACCTTAGACTTCTCCATTTTTTCACTCTGTCACTTGTATGTGCAAGGCACAGACTTCCTCTTTGCAAGTAAAGCCTACTACAGTTCTTTTTAAGGTACCAAATCAGGGGTTCTCTCCTTTTGTCACAAATCTACTTACAGGCCAGTTCAGAGCTTAAAATCTTATCTTGACCTGTCTTTCTCTTAAAATTTTTTTGTTTTATTTTAAAAAGGTACTACTAGTTCATTTTGGTAAAATAGGAAGATAAAAAATTAATAATAACCACTGTGAATAACCTCTACCAATATTTTAATATATCATCTTTGTTTTTTTTAAATGAGTGCAGACACATACAGACACACACCTTAAGACATACATACAGTGTAAATAATAGCTAAAATAGATTGAGCAACTATTATGAGCTAGGATTTCTGTTAGGCATTTTATATGCATTTGGTCTTCACCGCAACCATGTGAGATTATGTGGCCAGAACTGCTGTTTTTGTTTTTGTCTGCAGGCATCCATCTCCCCTACTCCATCTGCATGTGGCAACTGCCCCATAATTTCGACTTGGGTCTGCAGTCCTGGTGGGGCACCCAGTCCTGGTGTTTTATCCTCTTCTGACAAAGGGTTGGACACATAGCCCATGACTGACCAATCAGATGCCCTTCCTAGAACATGAATCTTGAACAAAATGACTCAGAAAGACTTGCAACCATTTTATCATATTCATCTGGGTGGTACTCTCCTGAAAAGACTTCCCATAGTTGTTGCTCCCTAGATCTGGTGAGCTGCTCTGGGACCTGCCCTTTCCCATGCGGAGTTCTTTAGATCTTTCTCTGAATTTGTGAGATTCCTATATCCTTGCAGCAACATTGTTTTTTATAAAGTTACCAGCTTTGATTTCTCCAATTTACCACCAAAAAAAACTCTAACCAAGAAATACACAAGTATTATTGTTTACAGAGATTGAAACTGACACTTACTGAGATTACGTGACTTGCCCAAGATCATCCAGGCAATATAAAGACATATCACTAAAGTTTGTGCTTAATTTTAATCAACTCTCTTCTCAGTCTCTCTATATAGATATATAGATGTGTGTGCTTTCTTATATGTATTCTTCCACAGTTGAGATACAATTATATTCACAATTTTAATTATTTTCAGCCTTTATTTTGCCACATGATACAATCACTGTAGAAAATTTCAAAATTACTGTAAAGGACAAAGAAGGTAAAACTTACCCATTATTCCGAAACCTAGGTATTCAACATTACTATTCACACTTTTTATTTCCTTTAGCCTCTCTTTCTCTCATATACACATATATACACATGCACAGGCATACACAAATAGGGAGATATATATATATGTAGAGAGAGAGAGAAAGAGAGAGGCATACTGTATGTACAGATTTGTATCATCACTTTTTAATTTTAATACTATTTTGTAAGCATTTTCCTGAGTAATTAAACTTCCTTCAAAATATTTTAAGAACTACAAGTTATTCATTGTATGGATATATCATAATGTAGTTAATCACTCCTCTTTTAGACATTTGATGGCTGTTTCTTTTTTTTTTTTTTGGCTTTGATAAATAGCACCATAATCAACAACTTTGTTGGCATCTGACTTTCTTAGAATAGATTGTAGAAGTAAAATTATTGGCTTAAAGACTTTGAACATTTGAAACGTTCTTGATATCTATTCTCAAAAACTTTTCAGAAAGATTGTGCCAATTTACAATTCCACAGCTAGTACTTAAAAGTTAGTTTTATTCGATTCTCCAAATATGGATGCCAACTTTTAGAAATGAATGCCAATAGTTAGAAAATGACAACCTGCTTTGTCTTAGGTATTTCTTTTAATACTTTCTTTCCTGGTATAGTGTAATGGAAGCTAATTTTCTAATTAAAAATTAAAATTCTTGTTTCAGTTGTATATGAAAGTGCACTTCACTCTCTTCAACATTTTTTTGTTTTATTTCAATGATTCATGCTTTGCATTTTCTAACTTTTCATATTTGTTTGAAATATTTGTATTTCTTCTCTGAATTCATGACATGCGCTTTACATATTTTCCCATGGGATCTAGGATCATGAAGTGAACTGGGCATCCTTCCCTGAGGATCTGTTCTGTTTGTTCAAAGCCCAGAAGAGTACCCTTAGGTACTCTTAAATATTTAGAGTAGTTTAATCACCTGTGGCACTTAGTGATAAGTGTTCTCATACACTTCTAAGCATATATGATTGTAGTAACTCGTATTTGCAAAGGAGTTTTCAATTCTACATCTATTATCAACTTAGCCCCTGTGAGGTGGGCAGGTCAGCATCTTTAGCATTATTAAGAATGTGGAGGTTGGGTTCCACAGGTGAAAGCTGTCAACAGCTACTTGGGAGCCAGATCAAGATTCAGACCAGGTCTTTAATTCCTACATGTTTTGCTTTTCCTTAAGTCATATTACTAATGTTGCTAGTGTCCAGAAATATAAAATGATTCCACACAGGGTAAGAAAGTTCTGGAATAATGTTAAGGGACCCAATTGCAAATGCATGTACTGTATTTTTAGAATGATAACGATTTACATTTGGGGACTTTTAATTGCAGTCATCCATCAGTTTTAAACTTCCAATGTCTAAATATAAAGATTCAGTAATATGAATGAGCCAGCTGCATTTTTACACAGCGCATGAACTGATGAGTTTATGAATGAGTTAAGAGATGAAAATCAACAGCAAGAGTAATAATACTCCGGCCCACTTCAATAGCCTAAGCTATACCTCAGAAAGTTTCCAATTTTACACCACTCCTCCCCCAGGAACATTCTCGGAAAAGACAGGTTTTCAATAGCTACAGGAAAATAGGAAGCACTGTACATTGATATCGTCCATTTTTTTAATTGAAGTATAGTCAGTTACAATCTGTCAATTTCTGGTGTACAGCATAAAGTCCCAGTCATGAACATATATACATATATTCATTTTCATATTTTTTCATTAAAAGTTACTACAAGATATTGAATATAGTTCCCTGTGCTATACAGAAATTTGTTTCTTTAATCTATTTTTATCTATAGTGATTAACATTTGCAAATGTCAAACTCCCAAATTTATCCCTTCCCTCTTCCATATTTTTTGAAACCTAAAGGATTATTTCATTTTTCATTTTCCTGCCTGAAAATAGTCTTCCCTTTTGCCGCATATAAAATAGAACTGTCCGTGGTTTGTGATCTTGTGAGAGCTTAATTTAAGCAGCTTCATGGTACTTTTTCCCCCGTGGTAAACACATTTCTTTGGCATATCTGCAAATTAAAAAATCCTTTTCCAATGAGCGCCTAGAAAAAAAATCAGTTCTCCCTATCTCGAGTGGTTTTTATTTATGGGTAGGATCTATTTCTGAAGACTTTATGGAAGCAGAACGTGGGTCTCCACAGGTGTAACCAGGAGCTGCCCTACCCGCGAAGAGGGAGGCGGGAAGATGCCCCAGTCCGCCCTTCATACCCTTGGGCCCGGATGCCGCTTCTGCCCTTGGAGCTGCGCGAGCTTCGGCCTCTCCAACAGCCCGTCGCGCACGCGCGCTCGCCGCCCCCGCCCTCACTGCACCTGCCAGGTCATAAACCCCGTCCCACCCTCTCGTGCTCTCACCCTCAGGCTCAGTCTTCCCTCACGTTGATTGGTCAGAATCCAAGAGGGCGTGTCCAATCAGCAATCCCTCTGCGCAACCTATTCCAGCTCTTCCCGCCCCCTCCCGCCCCACCCGTCTCTCTCGGGCACCTACGTTCTTTGTGACTGGTGCGCGCCCAGGTCACTCAGTGCGGCGGGGAGAGGTGTGCGGTGGGAAGGAGGGGTGGGAGGAGGGAGGGAGGGGAGGGGCGGGGCAGAGGCGGGGCAGAGGCGGGGCTCAGGTGCGGAGCCGAGCGGCAGAGACCAGACGAGGGAGGGGGCGAACGCCAGAGCGGAGAGGGGCGGAGCGGGGGCGGCGGCGAGGAGCGGGTTACGCTGGCGACGTCGGTAGCGCGAGGCTTCGCGCGTGAGCGGCGCGGGCGCTGGGCCTGGCTACGGAGCTCTCCTGGCGGGCGAGCAGGTCGTCGACGCCGGCTCCTGGGGAAGCGCGGGGAGGAGGGAGGTGTCGGTGTCCGCGGCGTAGTCGACGGCGGTCCCGGCCATGGAAGAGACGCCGCCGCTTCCGCAGTCCGAGCTGCCCCTGTGCGACAGCCTCATCATCTGGGTGAGTACAAGGGGGCGAAGTGGGTCGGAGGGCTGCGGCGAGTTGCCTGGGGTGCCTGATTCTCCCCAGGTGAGCCTGCGGAGGAGCGAGGGCCACCTGCGCCCTTGACTCCGCGTATTGCGCTCCGCACCTCCGGTCTCCCTTGACCGCGACAGTGCCACCTGCGGGTCGCAGGGCAGGTATGTGTCCGTGAGTGTGTGTGTTTCTGTCTTGGGGGGGAGGGCAGGGTAAAGGGAGCTCGTGGAGAGGGGAGGAGGGACGGTGGAGGCTCGCCTTACCCCCCTCACCGTGCTTCTAACAGCTGTGGCTGGAGCCTAGCGCCCATCCCTTTACTCCCCGCTGTCCCATTTTCCTCCCCTGCCCTGTGCCCAAGCCGTAGACTTTCTGGGCCACCTACTCTCTTGCCTTCTGTCTGTTGAACAGCCGTCCCATAGAGACCTTTGGACCACTTGGGAGTGAAGACGCCCTCCGAAACCTCCCTCCCACTCCAACCACCTTGCTTTTACTTGGACACAGGTGGCCAAAAGGTGGTTTTAGTTTGTGGATCAGTGCTTCACCCCAAGCTTTCCAATTTTGTTGAAGCCCCTTAGAAGAGGCCTTTCCACGTATTTCCTGCGTGGAGAAGAGATATTTGGGTGGGGGCTCATACTCCTTTTTTCTCACTGGTTTTCTTCTTCCAGTGGACAAGCATTTTTTTTTAAAGAAAAAAACTTGGCATTTTCGTTTGCATTTATCCGTGCTTCGTATTTATATTAATTTGTGTTGGTTTTGGACTGGCAAGATCTGTCCCCAGTATTGTCAGGAAAGAAGCCCTCAGCGATCAGAGAGCTAACATTCAGGTGTGGCTTCTAACCCATAATGGGCAAGGTTGGCGCTCCATGGTCCACCAGGTGCTGTTAATGATGCTCTTCACCAAAGCAGTTGTTTAGTTTTGTGTGGGAGAGTTTGTGCAGAATGGAATATAAACAGACTGGATAAGGAGGTGGTAATTGGTTGATGAGATTCCCTATCTCTCAACGCCTGTAATTCAGAAGAATGAGAAATCAGGGAGGTTTCTGGCAGTGTGGGAAATCTATTGGGAATAACCATAATTTAAGGCCACTTTTATTCTTTGGAGGTAAATAGCTTTTGCTGTAAGTAGACTGCAGGCATGTGGGGTTTCTGAATTAAAAGCAATTCGCCAATTTGTAATTTCACTTAAAATAACTTGCAGTTTAGATGCCATATTTAAGACTGTCATGAAACAAGGCAACATTATTTCTAATGATGTGTTTTATTATGACTGGTGACTAATTAAGGGGTGTGTCCTAATCTGTTGCATTGTTGCTCTAAACTTCTGACTTAAGTAGTAAGCTTAGTCTTTATGATGTCGTTGACATATATGAGGTGGTGGTGAAGCATAGGATTATCTTGAATGGTATTTCGATGTCTTAAAATATTATGTGACCATATCCATTCTTTTAATCAGTATTTATTGAGTTCCTACTTTGTACAAGACGCCAAGGAAGAAAGATATCAAGAATAATCAAAGAACTTTCCATTTTAATTAAAGTGGTAGGCAGAGCTATGTATTTTTACAATGGAAGGCAAAATTTCTTAAAAACTGTAAAAATAACATAAAGAATGATAAGGAATCATAAATGACAGAGTATAATTGGTTGCTTGCTTCTCCAGCTAGTTCTCTCTCAGGCTGCTGGACCATTGTGGAGAAAATGGAATTTATGTGCAGACTGTTGCCTTTACAAATGCTGCTACAGCCAAATCTTTCTGTTCCCATAACACTGCCCAGCTTTATGATAAGAAAACCACACAGTGCCTCTCATGTTTCTCTTTGCAAACCTTTATCAGTACCCTGTCTGAGCCCCAACCCTTCTCCCCATCAGGAAAATGACCACCTTCTCTTTGTCTCTGGCTCATGATCCACCTTCTACCTCTTCTAAAACTTTCTCTGTCATTTACTTCCTTCAGTATTTACTTCTTCCTTTCCATTGGCTCCTTCCTCTCCTGCATGTGAACTTGCTCAAATTTTC